GTGGGTGTGGGTGTGGGTGTGTGGGTGTGGGTGTGGGTGTGGGTGTGGGTGTGGGTGTTGGGTATGGATGTCGGTGTTGGGTGTGGGTGTCGGTGTGGGGTGTGGATGTGGGTGTGTGGGGTGTGTGTGTAGGTGTATGGGATGTGGGTGCGGGTGTGGGTGGCTGTGGGTGTGGGTGGGATGTAGCTATGGGTGTGGGTGGGTATAGGTGTTTTTGTTCTTGCACAACCACACCCACACCCACCCACACCCACACCCACACCCATACCCGCACACCCACCCACACCCACACCCCACACCCACACCCACCCACACCCCACACCCACACCCACACCCACACCCTTCTCCTAATCCAGCATCCCCACACCCTTTCTGACTCGGACCTTAAAAGTTTGAATCTGATGCTAACTCTACCTACATTTCTACGGTAGTGTAGAATCTAATTAAAAAGAAAAGCTTAAATTGATTATAGTAATAAAATCATAATTAAGACAAAAATGGAATTATATTAGATAATAGAGAATTTCATATGCTTTGCGCATAAAGCGTTATTCCTTTTTTTTGTTGCGTTCGAAAGATATATATTGTTAAATAGTAGGAAACGTACAGCGATGAAATAAACTATTCAGTTTAGTTTTAAATTATATTATTTATCATATCATTTGTATGATAAAGTCTTTCGAAACAGAAAATTTGAACATAATTTCATCTAGTGAAATCTATATTCTGTTCGTTTTGTTTTGTCTATGAAAAATCCTATATGAATCACATATTAAATGACTATTTTTTTTATTGATAATGATATAATCGTTTCGAATTATAAGTAACGAGTGCTCTATCAGATTATTTCGAGAGAATACATCTATACATATTATCAACTACAATGATAAATAACTTAGTATAAAATTCGAACAATTTAGTTCAATATGTAAGGGTCTACTTTTAAAGGATAAATATCAATCTTTATTTTTATTTAATTCAATAGAATTTTTATTAAATAAAATGATAGAAATGATGAATAAAAAAAAACGATGAAACATTTTTAAAAAATGCGTTTCGAGAATAAAATAAATGAATGTACTCAAATCTATTGAAAAATAAGACGAAAGTTGATATTCTTCCTTATTTCACGTAATTGATGCTGAATTTCAAGTGCTCTTTGTTTTGATTGTTTATCTTTAAGATCATCGATTCCAATAGCTTTCACAATAATCGTCGTCAAATGATGACAAATTTTCAAAACACTCTTCCACATAGATTCATCTAATATTATTTCATAGTTAAATTTATTGACAAGAAAACAAACCGTAGAAATATTTTGCATTTGTTTGATGAGTTCGACAACTTGTCTGAAGAAATACGGTGTATAATATGTATAATCATTTTTTGTCAAAGTCAATGAAGATTGTCGCATCTCGAAAACGAAATATTCGATTGATTTATTTTTTCGCATATGTTCTCCAAAATAAAGGAAATCATTAAGACTTCCACTTGATTCAACACAATGAATTTCTAATCGTTTTATTTTATAATTTAATATATAAAGATTTCTACTCAAATTTCTCAAATCAGGTTCTTCGTCAAAGTAAAGTATAAGTGAAGTAATATTAGGAAAATATCCAATATATTTTCTTTTAATTCTACTCGATGGAATGTTGAAACATATCAGTGACATAACTTGATTTTGAACAATTGAAGATTCTTGCTTAATAAATCGACTCTCATTAAATGTTTTAAGACTGAATGAATCTATTGTTTTACGGTTAAACTCTCGAAGAATCATAATGACAAATTTATGATCTAGTTCAGATAAATGAATTCGAGCATTATACGATTGTAATAAATATAAAATTTTTAGAGAAAATGCTTTGACAGCTTCATTTAATGTCAAATATTTTGTAATTTGTAAAACAACATCAAGACAAAGACGAGATTTTTCAATAAAATCAAATGCCTAAAATACAATAGATTATCATTATAGAAATTATTTTTTCAAACTGATAATAATTAAAAATTGATCGAGATCGAATAATACATACAATTTCATTTTCGCTTTGCTTACATATTTCTGTAAAATCTCTTAACTTTTTAAGTAATGTTTTAGGCAATAAATACTTTTGATTGGACATTATCTGAGAATATGTAACCAATAATTGATTATGAAATTCGATTTTCAATGAAAGTCCTTCTTCGACAACCGATCGGCGCATGATTCCAATAAGTTGAGGAAGTTTTTCTATAGAAAAATCATTTGAAGAAGTGTTAGGAAAGATTGTTTGCCACTCATTGATAAACCTAAAATGAAAATACTCATTTATTCATATATGATCTATAACTGTGGCTCAGCTTATATATTCGCATCTTTTCTACATGCATAAAAGAAAAATAAAAATTTCAACATAATCCAATGTATTTTAAAAAAATCTACGAGGTAAATCTATTAATAGAAAACAAAAATTTTTTAAAATCTTAAATTTATGATATTTATTAATAATATTAATCATTCCATTTTATTTTCTAAACAATTTTTAAAACAAACAAGAAAATAATGAAAAAATTGCTTTTATTCTATATGAATCAAAAGTGTTTCATCATTACATTATGATAGAATATTCTCATATTAATCAATAATCAATATATGATATTATATCATCATTGAAACCAGGGTTGTCAGATTAAAATCTTATAAATCGGAATATTTCGAAAAAAATATCTGGCTTATTCGGAGAAGATTCGAAAATTAGTTTTTTAAGCTTTTCGACGCTTAAGATGTTTTGTGAAACTCACATATATTTTCGAAGAAAAAAATTGTGAGTGTAAGTTTTATGTTCGAGGTTTTATTTATAGTTAACTAGCCGTAATGCAGGATCAAGTTCACACGACACATTTTAAAAGAGTATCGAATTCTGGTTCTGCCTAACTAGTTTCGATCTCGTTCAATTACAGTTTAAGGTCCGAAAAATGTTTAAACATTCTCACTAAGATCTTTGAAACGGATGTTTTGTACAAACGTCGTTTTTGATTTCCTTCGAAAATTTGCTCTTATCGAATCAACTGGAAGTCGGAATAAAATTCTGAATTTGCACTTAAAAAGAGCTTAAAAATACTCATTCTAGCTGACGACTTTTGATTGTCTTTCCCAACCTTTAAGCGAAAGAAAATTAAAGATATATTTTGTGCAAATACTTTTTACACGCAGATTATATTATTCTATGGTGTAAATCTAAAAAAAAAAAGATTATTATGATCAATATCAATATTAAATAAATAATCAAAAAATATTCATATTAACATTGTTAACCTGTCTAGATCTGATTTTCGTGTGACATCATAAGCACAAATAATATAATTTTGAGATAAATAATGGATGATATCTTTGGAAAGAAATATATTTGATAGAGCAGTAATGATATATTCACATTGATTTGCATGGATGTAGACGAGTATTGAGCGACACTAAAATAATATTTATCTTTATATCAATTATGTCAATCATAATAACGAACTTCTTCGATTGATTCATCACTAAAAGCTTTTTTACAAGCAATTTCCAAAGAATTCGTGACAAACGCATCGGCAATTTTACATTTTTCTGTAAAAAATTCAGTAAATGATTGAATTGCATTGAAATTATGTTCTAAGTTGACTTTCATTGAACCTTTTAATAACAAAAGAAACACAACATATTTTGTATTTCTTTTTTTTTGTTAAAATAAAGAGAATTTACTTGAATTAATGTTGATTATATAATTATTTAAATTAGGATTGACATGATCATTGATAGATACATTTTCTTCTGTATTATTTTTCTATGTGATATAAACATACATGCATTTAGAAAATAAAAATGTTTAATTGATATCGAATGATTAATGTGACATTGTTATCACAATATTTTAATAATATCTTCTTCTATTCCCATTCTTCCATATTTAACATTTTTGCAAAAGAATAAATTTTATTTCATTTATTCATACGTCTTTTCTTTTCCTAAATGTTTTAGAATGATTATAATAGAAATAAATCGTTTTCTATACAATAAAAAGAATCGCTTATTTTTTTAAATAGCATAAATATATATCAATTTCAAAATAGTATTTATTTTACTAAAGTTTTAAAAAAAATTCAAATTCGATATCTTTTAGAGATTTTTTTTCTTTGAAAAATAAAGCGACTCGTTTTTATATTAAAACTCTAACTGCAATAATTTAAATTGAACGTATGATCGATGATATACTGAAACCTATATTGAATTTAAACCAACTGATAGTAAAAAGCGGTCTTTTTTCTTTTTTAGAAATGCCATAGATTGTACAATGAATATTGACTTTTGAAAACAAACCAATAAGATAATCGGTTGTACTGTTTATGAGATATTATCACTTGCTTTTACAGATATATACATTCTATTCAAATCATATTTAAATGAAAGTCTACAAAGATATTTATTTAAGTCATTTTCTCAGTGAAGTTATTTTAAATATATACATATCCATATTGATCAGAATAAAAATAATGTTCATTATACTAATGAACATTATCAAAGAATATTATTTTTATGATTGAATGTAATTCTGGATTGTATATCAATGAGGAGTGCGCCTATTGTACCATTTTGGAAAAAAAATTAACTTATTGATAAACGAAAGTTAAGTGTTCTATTAAATAGAGCTATATCAAATAAATACTTTCGCCAGACTTCCCTGTGTTGTGATAGAGATTGACGATATAACAGACTATTTTCTATAAAGTGCATCCATTTTTCCAATCAGGAGCGGTGGAAGCTCTCAAAATGAATTAAGGCTCAGTTACAGCGTTGTCAATTGTTTTAGGGAGTCTTGGAGGGAGGCTAAAAATTTCGCAGACACGCCCAGAACAAACAAAAAGAATTTCTTTTTCTTGAAATAATGACCAGGGGGCAGGGGGTAGCTTCACGAAGATTTCCCTACCACATTTTTATTTTCATAATTAAGTAAAATTTTATTTATAGAAAAATTTAAAGCTATATAGAAATGATTAAACTTCAAATTCGAAATTTTGGTGAGACTAAAGCCTCACCGAACCTACAGGCTCCGCCACTTATGACAACATATAAATAAATATATTAGAAGTTCGAATCTATGCACTGGAATAATATTCATTTAATAAGTCTAAGCCATCGTGCAAAAAAATACCAAAAACATAATTTGGGTGATGCTGAGCTTCCAGCTTCGACCGCCCATGTTTCCAATATATCTTATCTCTGAACTACTATCATAAATACTGTGGCAATAAAACTATTTTACGTATGAAAATTTTCCTTCAAAGATCGTCTTTGGGTGTTTAATGAAGGTTGTTTAAATGAAATTTCGATAATTTTCATGTTGCTTTACACTTTCTTAGTAAAGCTAAATATTCTTCGGAATGGAAAATGAATTCTTTGATATATTATTGCACTCTATCATATGAATATATTATCAAAAGTTTTGTTTTAATTGAGTTACAACAATAAAAATATTGAAAATCTCATTCTACATTTATTGTCAATTAAAGAAGTTTAGAAAATTAAAATCTTTTGTTTTCTCGTCATCTCTCATTCATTCTCAATAAAAATTTCATACCAACGATTTTCATTTTGGTCTACACTAAAATGAAAATTGTCTTCGTTTTTTATTGATAAAATTTTGTATAGGGTTAAGACTGATGTTTAAAAAACCGTAATGAATTAAAAAATAAATGCGAAAATATCGGATTCAAATCCGAGTGTTATATCCACTTGAAAAAGTGAACAGATATATTCACTTTATTTATTTTTTTTATTATCTGAGACATATCTAGCCTATTTGCTTTTTCTATGCATTTTGGGACCTTTCTCAGGCGATGTTTTGTTACAAAGCTATGATTTGGTTCAAAACTAATATCAAATTCGGAATCATCGTTAAAAACAGAGTCGATTTATATATGTTGTGAAGAATTCTAAGAAAAATTTGTTTTTGAAAAAATTCCTGTGCCTCCTCCGAGGGATGGTCATCTTGATAATGGCAATTTTTTGGATAACTCAGCCATTTCTTAATGGATCTTTCTCATCTTGGAACTCGGTCGAATTGTGTAGAAAATTTCATCGTGATCTGACTCTTCTTTCAAAAGTTATCGTGTAAGCGACCGATCGGACACACTGGGCGATTCTAGAGTGTACTCACTTTTTGAGTACACAAAACTTAATTTCATTTTCTCAGACTTGTATGTTTATCTGTCGATCAATAAACCATAAAAAAATCATCAAAATCGATTCAGTAAAACTCGATTTATTGATAATTTTATTTTCAAAATTCAACGTGCTCTTTACTCATATATAAGACAAAAAAATCGATAAATAATTTAAAGATTTATTTTTGGGAAATCAATGGCAAGACATTAACTATTAAAGATAACTTACCAGTTGGTTTGTATTTTGATTAGATCGTTGCTTGAAGTTTGTCAATTGTTGATATAATTTTTCCGATGTAATATCCTGTTCAATGTCTTTCAACTTGAAGTCTTCAAGTAACGACTCAAAAATAAATTGGTTCTGCATCGAAAGATCATCTGCTACAATAAAACGTCGACTGATTCCAATAATTATTGGATATTTATCTTTAGAAAAATTATAGATAACACATTCAGGAAATATTTCCTTCCATATTTCTATAAACCTAAAATAAATAAATATATAATCTTTCTTTAATATATTATTAGTTTTATAATAATAAAGACTTGAATATTCATCATCTCTCAATTTTCACATGCAAAAGAAAAAAACTTCAGTCAGCTCATAATCATGTAGATAAAGTTATCAGGTTTTTTCGAAGAAGTTTATGGATATTGAAGAAAATCTGAAGCAATACCAACAAGATTAGATATACCGAGAATATTTAAAATTTAAATTGAAAATATTCATGTTGCGGAAAAATAATGCAACTAAATTGAAAATCAACGAGAATATATTGAAATTTTCAAGAAAAGAACTGAAAAAGTGAACTATCATTCATATTTCACGCAATAAATCTAATGCAGTCTTATATATTTAGATTATATTTATTGTGTTGTTATGCTCATAGGATATCATGGATTTTGAAAAATTGAAAGTCATTTTGTTAAAATGTGTTCTTAT